GCGCAAACTCGTCATGTTTGGGGCTGAGATCCTCATCAGAAGCATGGTTCTTGGACGTCTTAGAAGAAGCAGACGATGGTTTCTTCTTAGTAGCTTCCTTCTTCAGCTTTCTCTGCTGCTCCTCATCAGCTGCTTCGCCTTCTTTAAGCCTCTCCTTCTCAGCTCTTCTCATTACTTTCTTGTCCTTCGATCCCTTCTTCTGCTCCGGTGGGTTCTTCAGAATAAACGTAGTCAATTTATCCCTCATGTCAACCTCAGAGATAAACCCGCAAGCCGCACACTTCAGATTCACCATCTGAGCCTTTGTGATAATAACCTCAGTCTCGGGGTTTCCACATCCATAGCACTGAACATACTTCTTAATAAAAATCTCCAAAAGCGCAGCAAGCTTAGACGTGCTATGAGCTCCATTCACAAGCGATATCCCAGTCTTCTCGTCGAATTTGGACTGAGCACCGAGCTCACAACCAAAGTACTTGGTCGTATAAGAAGCCGGTCTCCCCAATGCTTTGGCAATCTCAACATTGTTCATAATGTTAGTCTTGATACCATTACCTTTACCTTCAGTCTTGGTAACCATCTTAGGCATCTTGTACCTGTAAAAGGCATCATTACGATTCGATGCACCAATGTTCTGCAACGCCATCTTTTCGAGGTTTTTCTTAGCCGGAGAAACAACAGGGAAACTGAGGAACAATCTTCAAAGGAGTCTCCGGTTTGAAGATGCGTGAACCTAAAGTAATGGAAGAACTTGTAGTCCTTATTTCTGGATGTAGGACAGTATTCTCCAAGCAACCAGATTGACAGCTAAACGGAGAAATCTTGTCAGACATAAAAGAAGCTTCGAGAAATTCGATTCTTTTTTTCCACTTGCTGGGTCTCGAAACTGCAAACAAAACACTGAAAAGAAACAAAGAACCAAAGGATTAGAAAACTGAACAATCACCATTACCATTACAAACATACATTAAAGATAAAAATTCCGATCTGCATCAAACATATTCAGTATATAAAACATACATAATCCCTAATTCTAAACCGGAACATTGCAGAAACATAACACATTCGAATCCTTGAAAGATTACGGAATTGTGAATCGTTAGCTAAAAAGGTTGAAGATTTTTTAACGATTACAGAAATCAAAACAAACCCATCTAACAAGAAACAGAATCACACAAGATTGAAACGAACAACAATAACAATTTTTTCGAAGAATCAATCAAATCTACCAATAAAGCAAAATCCCTAAATACGATTGAAGAAACAAAAAAGGTTAAAGAATCTGGAGAAATTGATACCTCTGTTTTTTTTTTTTTTCTCAGA